CCAAAGTTGCCTCTGAAGAAACGCCGGCCCGGGTAGCTATGAAGACACCTGCGTAATATGGATTGGAAACACCGAGAATAAAAAAATCTTCACGAGTAGGCCCGCAAACCATGCAAGATCTGAAGACGAAGCATCCGACCTCCTCCTAGGACACTAACAAAACACTGATGCATGATGGGTAGGGAAGGGTTCTACAAGGGCTGCCTTACAACTTTCCTGTTTGCCAGTGTCCAACCTCCTGTAGGTGGCAGCATAACCCGACTGTAATAGAATTTCAGTGTCTCTCAAAGGTTGATGGAGAAATACAAACAGCCAATGAGAACCAGTTTCTATTAGGACTATTTCCTGGCTAACCATGGAAGTGTTATAGACGATGACATCATCACTGAGCCGAATACGGGGGACGCGGTGGTGATGGCTGACGAAGGAAGTGTTATAGATGATGATATCACCGCTGAGCTGAATATGGGGACACGGTGCTGATGGCTGACAATGGAAGTGTTATAGATGATGACATCACCCCTGAGCTGAATACGGGGGACACGGTGCTGATGGCTGACGAAGGAAGTGTTATAGATGATGACATCACAACTGAGCCGAATACAGGGGACGCGGTGCTGATGGCTGACAACGGAAGTGTTATAGATGATGACATCACCGCTGAGCTGAATACGGGGGACACGGTGCTGATGGCTGACAATGGAAGTGTTATAGATGATGACATCACCACTGAGCCGAATACGGGGGACACAGTGCTGATGGCTGACAACGGAAGTGTTATAGATGATGACATCACCGCTGAGCTGAATACGGGGGACACAGTGCTGATGGCTGACAACGGAAGTGTTATAGATGATGACATCACCGCTGAGCCGAATACGGGGGACAATACTGATGGCTCAGCAGCGGCACCATGGTGTTGTCAGCCTGACAAAGGAAACGAGGCCACCGTGGGAGGCCTGGCAGGATCAACATGTAACAAATGGGACAATGTTACCAAATGAAACATTCCGTATGAAAAGGACATTTTCTATTCAGGACGGAGTTCCGCTTTAAGGTGCACAGGTCTTGCTTAGCCTGACAACATAGCACACTCCTATACATACGGAACTAGAGAGCTTTACACAACTGCCCCCTCCTAGAAGTCATGGGGTGCCCCGTTGGGTGCGACCACCTTTGACCTCTGTGTGTATGGGGCCATCTTCGTGCAGCACTCCATCACAGCCTTTCTTTGACTTCTAGCGCGGCGGCTCCTCTCACACGCGGTTCCGTTGTAATGTCATGACGGCGTGTTTACCTGCTCGCTGCACAGCTCTGCAAAATCTGCTGAGAACTCACCAATAAAACACAATAAAAAAATAAATCGCTTTTGTATTATTTTGAAGGAGTTTGTGAAGTGTGAGACTTTCTTGTGGGTTTGCTTCCTGTCAGCGCCGGCAGTCCTGCATGTGATCTCGGGTAAATCTTTTTTTTCATGTCTGTTTGATTTGGCAGGATGTTAAAGGAGGCATGCAGCATCGTGAGACACAGATGAAACCACAAGATACTGTTAATAAGAAAAACAAGGCGGGGGGGTGGGGGGTGCACGCCGTCACATTTAAGAGCAGATTTATGAAAATGTCTACACGGGGGTCACTATGACGCAGAGACGTGTCCTTCCAAACTTCACACACACTAGTGGTCCTGTGCTAGAAAAGCATTGCAGCCGAGGTCGGTTGTAGCTCTGTTACTGCTCTATGCAAATATCATTTCCCAAATGTTCTGACACCATGGAGACAAGAGCAGCAACCTACCTACCCCACTGCAACATGGGCAGTACACCAGCTCTATCCTTTAAATCTGACCTCCGTCCTTCCCTTCAGTCTTCTATCTGACCTCCGTCCTTCCCTTCAGTCTTCTATCTGACCTCCGTCCTCCCCTTCAGTCTTCTATCTGACCTCCGGCCTCCCTTCAGTCTTATATCTGACCTCTGTCCTTCCCTTCAGTCTTCTATCTGACCTCCGTCCTCCCCTTCAGTCTTCTATCTGACCTCTGTCCTCCCCTTCAGTCTTCTATCTGACCTCCGTCCTCCCCTTCAGTCTTCTATCTGACCTCCGGCCTCCCCTTCAGTCTTCTATCTGACCTCCGTCCTTCCCTTCAGTCTTCTATCTGACCTCCGGCCTCCCTTCAGTCTTCTATCTGACCTCCGTCCTCCCCTTTAGTCTTCTATCTGACCTCTGTCCTCCCCTTCAGTCTTCTATCTGACCTCCGTCCTCCCCTTCAGTCTTCTATCTGACCTCCGTCCTCCCCTTCAGCCTCATATCTGACCTCCGCCCTTTTACAAATTACACTGTTCCAGCTACGTCTCTGGAAAAGAGAAGAGGGGAACCGATTCTGTAGATCTGTTTTGGGATGCCAACACTACTCCTCCACAGAGTACAGTAAGGCCCCTTTCACATGTGCTGATCGGGGGGGTACATGGATCCCCTCCTGATCGGAAGTCACCGCTGTGTGTCTTGCGATGGAGGAAAATACTGAAGTGACCCCCATGTCGGTCCACGCCCTTGGTTCTGAACTGGTGGGTCGTGACCCAAAAGTGGGTCGCCGTGTGCCTTCCACTTTTCTATGCGAGAGGCTCCTCGGCCTCCCCCTAGCGTAGCAATATCGGTTGTTGCGCTAAGCAGACATTCAGAATATGCTGCCCGGCGCCGTGTGTCAGCTTGAGCAGGGATGGGCTGGAGCTATGGCCGCAGGGGAGCTTCATCCATACATGCGTTGCTTACAGTCCCCTCATGTGACCTACAGAGGTGCCTGTACCGGAGTGATGTCACATTCTGGCTCCCGGCACCTCTACAGGGTGCACAAGGGAGTTGCATAAGCAATGCATGTATGGATGGAGCTCCGTCACAGTACAGCACTGGACCCCAAGCTGAGGATCGCACGGATCGCCCACACCGGAACGCAGGATACCGCAATGTAGTGCGTTCCATTGCAGTGCGACTTGTGTCGCCACCTAATGTCCAAGGACAAATGTGGGTCCTGAGGTTACACAGGTTGAGAACCGCTGATCTATGGGGAGTCGGTTGTAAAGGGACGTGCGTCTGCGTACATCAGATAACCCCCAATCCGGTATGATCAGGTCCGTTGAAACGGAACACTGTTCTGCTTGTCTTTCCGGACCTGGTTAGAGTCGGGGTACCTGGGTATAAAGGGACGCCGGTCCGTTCAGACCCAACTGCCCATAGACTAGCATTGGGCACTCGATCGGGTCAGACCACCTGTGTGAAAGGGGCCTTAGTGACCCCGTCACCCTATAACAGGAAGTGTGTTACCTGCAGCATCGCCAAGTGATAATAAAGAAAAACAAGAAAAAATTAAAAACGAATGCGGCCGCCACCTCTGAGGACGGCTGAGCCGCCATATATATGACATTTGCGTTCTCGGGTTCGGATACGTTTTCAGCACCGCGAGCTGCGCGAGACGCAGAGAAGAATGTCCCACCTTCATAGGGGTGCTCCATGCCTTCCTCCACCTCCATGGAATCATCCGGCTGCAGTTGCAGAGACGCATCTCCCACCGCCTCCACCAGCTCACTGAAGAAGTCGGCCAGCTGAGTGCAGCCCTGCAGCAGGATGTACCGGTCCTGGCGGTTGGTGAAGTACGAGTCGCTGAGGTTCGCTCTGGGAAAGAACAAAAAATGTTCAGTGAAGGTGAATGCGTTAGCCGACAATACAACACGATAAACGCTGAGGGAGATATTAGTCTGGTGTACAACGCTACAGCCGGGGAGGTGACATTCAGGGGGAAAACAACAAAAGGACAGTATGCAATGTTTGCTTGCTTTGTCCGTCTAACTGGAAGTCTTCTGTGCACATGAACCTCTATTGGGAAACAAACCGGAAGAGTGAAAACAAAGTCCCCCATTGCCGCGCAGGAGGAAGAAAAGTCCAAATTCATCATTCCAGTCAGTAAATGTTTTACTTACATGTTTCCCCCACAGACCTTGTTATGGTAAAATGTGTATTAGAAGGAAACACGTTGCAAAACAAACAATTCGGCTGCCACTGCGGACCTTCCGCTGAAAATACTGACTGCCTGGATGTTAAAGGGTAAGTGGACTTTAAAACAAAGTCCATTTATCCCCTTGGCTCCTGTACCCCGACCTAAACTAACCCACCCCTCCCCCTCCACAGATGCATCGTTACCTCCATCCGTGTGCAGGAGCTTCCTGTATTAAGACCAGTCACTGCTGCTCTCTTTGTGCAGGGTGACTGGTCTTGTCTCCGCCCCCTCCTGGAATAAAGACCGCTCACTGCTGCTCTCTCTCCTTATGCAGGGTGACTGGTCCTGTCTTCGCCCCCTCCTGTAATAAAGACCGCTTACTGCTGCTCTCCTTGTGCAGGATGGCTGGTCTTGTTCCCGCCCCCTCCTGTAGTTTTCTGCAGGCAGCTTGTAGTGGCTGGGGCCTGCTGGGTCCCTCCTACAGCTCTGCTCTCATCATAGGCTAGGATCAGGCGAGTATAATTTTCTTTTTATACCTAGACAAAAACAAGCAGCGATCCCTTGCAGTGCAGAGGTAGCCCCACAGCAGGGGATAAGAATGTTTTACTCGGAGTTCTGCTTTAAATAAAAGTTCTTGTGCCCAGAGGTGAGCTTGAAACCATATCTAAACCCATATGACAAAAATATATTATCACTGCAGCTCACTAGTCCTCAGATGTGGTGGCTGCATTCGTTTTCTTTCTTCTCAGGTTAGGTACAATTTCGGCAAGTACAGAATAATTCCTGTGTCATGGAGATGGAGGAAGTGTTTGCAGTCCAAATCAGGAAAGCATTTAAAAGTTCAAAGAGTTTTACCCCATGTGTGGCGCTCGTCAGAAGCGGGGCGAGTTGCGGTACTTGGTGGGTACCCCGTATGTGACTAGAATTTGGGGAGAATTTCTGTGTGGAAAGTTTGAAGGTGGGGGGGGGTTGTTTACCCCCCTTCACTTTCCTTGCGGTGAGTTACAGAATTTCCTCCTTTTCTTACTCGCCCACCTTATCTCACCTTGCCGTATTTGTGTTTACATTTGTCCCATCTGGTTGGACCTCCACACCACCCATCCTAAGAGGGACCGTCTTCCCCCTTGCTCCACTCCACCTCACGGCCTTTATCGACCTACCATAGGTGAGTACATCACCTACCCCTCTCATCCAACTTCGCCACATTTATTGCGCCAGGTAGTGGCGCTTCCGTTCCCCAATTTTTGTTTCAAATCAGGAAAGCAGTCTAAAGGTGACAACGCTGCTCCTCCATATGGACACAGTACAGTGAGTGAGCGTCGTCATCCTAGTACAGGAAGTGTGTTAACCTACAGGATCACCGGATGGAAAAGAAAACGAATGCGGCCGCCACCTCTGAGGACGGGGAAGCTGCAATATTTTTGTTCTTGGGCTTGGATACCCTTCCAGGCAATATTGGCCACAACGGCTCAGCCTGACTGGCAGCATTGTCAGAAGGAAGTGAGTAATGAAGGCCGTAATGTTTATGTCACCATAGGCTTCCTTTAAGGAAAGAGATAATACGCAGAGAGATACGTCCACCTCGGGGGCAGTGCTGGGAAACGTTTACATAAGGGTTTTGTAACACAAGATGTTCTATAATTAGGTTTCTGTATGCGAGCTGCGTGTTTCCACTCGTTACATTCCGATAATTACATTTATCATTCGGGGTGCCGCCCAACATTTCTAATTGGATTATTTATTACGAGCTTATCATTTATTATGAGAAATGTATTTAGGAGGGAGTGAGAGCATTGCACTGCGGGCTATGTCAGGTAATGGATATGGTAATAGTTGTACTTCAAAGCGAGCAGCTCAGTATTTGCACATTCTAACCTATATATATATATGTGATGTGAATGTGCAACTATGTAAAGTGCTGCGTAAATTGTCGGCACTATATATATAGTGTAATGTAAATGGGTAAGCCGTATTAGTCCAGTATATATATATATATATATTAGGGATGCACAGATACTTTCCGAGTACCAGTGCAGATACTTGGCATTTTCAGGAGAACTCCCAGGGTTGCAGCCGGGACCTGGCTCTGGCTCTCCACCACCGTCCAGAAATCATCAGTCTGTTTTGTTTTAGAAAAACTGTCACATGACAATAAACAAAAATGTATCAGTACTCGTACTCGCAAAACTGGTATCTGTGCATCCCTTTATTTATAAAAACAAAATCATACATTAAAACAGAGATGTACAAATCCCGGGAGCTCCGTGTGCTCCTTACACATGACATCCGCCTCCTAATTTTTGAATTTTCCTCTAGTGTAGTCCTGGAGCTCAAATGTATCGGTACATGTACTTGGTATCTGTGCAACACTAATATATATATATAGTGTAATGTAAATGGGTAAGCCGTATTAGTCCAGTATATATATATATATATATTAGGGATGCACAGATACTTTCCGAGTACCAGTGCAGATACTTGGCATTTTCAGGAGAACTCCCAGGGTTGCAGCCGGGACCTGGCTCTGGCTCTCCACCACCGTCCAGAAATCATCAGTCTGTTTTGTTTTAGAAAAACTGTCACATGACAATAAACAAAAATGTATCAGTACTCGTACTCGCAAAACTGGTATCTGTGCATCCCTTTATTTATAAAAACAAAATCATACATTAAAACAGAGATGTACAAATCCCGGGAGCTCCGTGTGCTCCTTACACATGACATCCGCCTCCTAATTTTTGAATTTTCCTCTAGTGTAGTCCTGGAGCTCAAATGTATCGGTACATGTACTTGGTATCTGTGCAACACTAATATATATATATAGTGTAATGTAAATGGGTAAGCCGTATTAGTCCAGTATATATGTAATATATATACATAGATTTTACAAGCGATTGCGGCGACATCACCGCGATCACCTGTAAATGTACGAGCGGATTCCCCACAAGGCAGCTGCCGCCCCTCTGCGCCCTGCCGCCCCGAGGCCGGGCCTCGGTGGCCTTGTGGGAAATCCGGGCCTGCTTGTTGCAAGAATTGACTCCATAGCCAGGTCCTGAAACTGTAGCATGGCTGGGTCCGGGACATGTCCGCTCGCTGATTGGACAATGAATGAGCAGCAGCACACTGATGAGTCAACGCCCCCTTGTTCCCTACTCTTTTCACGGGAACCTGTGCTTTGCCCATACAGTACCAAATTACATTGTTTCATAAAGAGACCCTGTCACTTTGTGCATTCAGGTCCTCAGTAGAAGATACCTGCAGCAGGAACTAGAGTCTTCTGCCTGCTTGCAATCCAGTTGGGCACAAGGGTGCTCCGGTGCTGCACTCCACCTGCCACACAGGATCTGAGGTCCATCTAGGTCAGGGGCAGCCAAACTCCGGCCCTCCAGCTGTGGTGGAACTACAAATTCCATGAGGCATTGAAAGATTCTCACAGCCACGACTCCCGGAAAGAGATGCATCATGGGATATGTAGTTTCACCACAGCTGGAGGGCCGGAAGGTTTGGCTACCCATGATCTAGGTGCGCGGACTTCTCCTCTCAGTGCATGGACTACTGGTTGAGAAGAGCTGGTTCCCAAGGCACTGTTCTTCAGAGAAACAGTATGAGCGAGGCTAAGACTTTCCGCGGGGACCAGACTACCTCCCCTGTCGCATGATGGATTCCCACTCCTTCCTGGTGGCGAAAGCATGGCAACCTGCCCAGAAACATGCCCCCCTGACGTGGCAGGAACTACCTATTCTGAGAAGCCAGACGGTAGCCCCGAAGAAGAAGGCTCTTCAGTGAGTGATGCCCCCTGGATACAGGGTAACGAATCTATCCCAGTTGCCAGAAGAGGCTGAAGAATCACAGCAGGGACTACCTGGTCCATAGAAACAGACCCGTCGGCTTGCTTAGAGCTGTGACTACAGAGAAGGGGGCTAAAATAGGCCAGAAAAAAAGAGAAACCTTGAAGAAAACCCCCCCCAACACCCTAACTAAGGAGAACTATGGGGGAAAGCCCTAACCCCATAGTTCTCCTTTAATTCCTCCGGTAATCAAAAAGGATCTCGGGGTACACCAGCTGTGAACCTTTTTAGGAAGGGTTTAGGCTGGAAAACCTCACCCACAGGTCACAGAGGGTTCCCAACACTGCAACATGGTGAATCCTGCAGGTGATGGGCCCATCGGTAAGGTACATAGAGCCGACTCTTGTCACAGGAGTTTGTATGAGCATTCCACAAGAGGGTCGGTGTGTATGGGGGGACACTGAGGGTCCGGGAATGAAACGGTCAGAGCTGGTCCCAGATGACCTTGTAGATCAGGGAGTCACTCAAGAGAGGAGTCCCAAGGATGGGGGAATTTTCCTGAGGGAAAGACTAGAGGCCCAGCTCCAGAAAATGGACACATGGGCTGGGCAATGGGACAAAGGGGTGGGAGGAACTCGGGGAGACTGGGGAAGGTGCATTAATCTGCACAGTAGCACAGAGGAGACAAGACGAAGCCAACCTCTCAGGGTCCTAGAGGCAAAGTATTAGACAGAGGACCCAAAACCAATGCATTGGTTCTGAGGAAGGAGGTGTGTCCTCTGAAACGCGTCAACCATGAAGTGTTTGCAGCTTGTCGGCTGTGCCGGAACTCGATGATTTTAGTGTCTGTGTTCGCTGATACATACTATATGCCTGTTAGCTCCAATTCTTTTGCGAGTATGTTTTCAACTCTCTTGATATCGTTTTATTAAAGCGTTTCTACACGATGGAGGCGCTATTTTTGCTTTTTATTTCCGTTATTGTGGTCGCCCCCAGACCAGCGTGAGCTGCCTTCAGAGTGCATCAGTTTACCTTTCCTACACAGGTATTCGTGCTGGCGCCTGTGGTGTTAAAGGAGAACTATGGGGTCAAGGCTTTTCCCCCATAGTTCTCCTTAGGGTAACGGGAGGACACAAACTAGCGTATACTTGCGATATACTGAGACGCCGCAGCTGAAGCGGATCCTGACAATTCTGTCTGGATCCGCCCAGCTGTGTGAGTGACAGCTGGCTCTGCCTACCTAGAGCCAGCTGTACCCGCCCCCTCCCCCGTCCGTTCCGCCAGTCAGCGCTGGAGGATCGGAGGGGGGAATCCAGTCACTCCCCTGTACCGGCTTTCTGCTGTGACAGGATGGAGAGGTGAATAAGCGCCGGTATGTGTTCGCTCACCTCCCGATCTACTGAGCCGACCTGTGACAGTCTCATTGTCTATGAGGATGAGTGAAAAGCACCCCCCCCTCATAGTTCTCCTTTAACTCTTTGTATGTTTTCAGGAACTCCCCGCCAGCTCCTCCCACCAGCCATGATCTGCTGACCATTACATAAAGAAACACAGGACCCATTCATGCTCAACTCCCTGATTGGTGACGGACCACTAGGCCCCGCCTGTATACCCTTCAACCAATGACAATGCCTGAATCGAGAGTCTCTCTGCAGTCGTGCCTCTGGTGCTCTTACCCACTAAGGATGACGTTGTCATCGAACAGATAGACCTTTATGTGCTGCAGTCCGATGGTCTCATTGAACCTCTCTGGCGTCAGTGCTCGCAGGAGGCCGCGCAGGTTGGGTGTATGGAAGAAGGAGGCGCTATTTTTGCTTTTTATTTCCGTTATTGTGGTCGCCCCCAGACCAGCGTGAGCTGCCTTCAGAGTGCATCAGTTTACCTTTCCTACACAGGTATTCGTGCTGGCGCCTGTGGTGTTAAAGGAGAACTATGGGGTCAAGGCTTTTCCCCCATAGTTCTCCTTAGGGTAACGGGAGGACACAAACTAGCGTATACTTGCGATATACTGAGACGCCGCAGCTGAAGCGGATCCTGACAATTCTGTCTGGATCCGCCCAGCTGTGTGAGTGACAGCTGGCTCTGCCTACCTAGAGCCAGCTGTACCCGCCCCCTCCCCCGTCCGTTCCGCCAGTCAGCGCTGGAGGATCGGAGGGGGGAATCCAGTCACTCCCCTGTACCGGCTTTCTGCTGTGACAGGATGGAGAGGTGAATAAGCGCCGGTATGTGTTCGCTCACCTCCCGATCTACTGAGCCGACCTGTGACAGTCTCATTGTCTATGAGGATGAGTGAAAAGCACCCCCCCCTCATAGTTCTCCTTTAACTCTTTGTATGTTTTCAGGAACTCCCCGCCAGCTCCTCCCACCAGCCATGATCTGCTGACCATTACATAAAGAAACACAGGACCCATTCATGCTCAACTCCCTGATTGGTGACGGACCACTAGGCCCCGCCTGTATACCCTTCAACCAATGACAATGCCTGAATCGAGAGTCTCTCTGCAGTCGTGCCTCTGGTGCTCTTACCCACTAAGGATGACGTTGTCATCGAACAGATAGACCTTTATGTGCTGCAGTCCGATGGTCTCATTGAACCTCTCTGGCGTCAGTGCTCGCAGGAGGCCGCGCAGGTTGGGTGTATGGAAGAGGGACACGCGCACTCGCTCCGGGTATTTGCGCAGCAGGGGAAGCAGCATGCTGCGGGAATTCTTCTTACCTGGAATTAAAAATGTCACAGAAAGTTTAATAAACATGACTCCACGCACCGGCTTCAAATGACAGACCTGCAATTTAAAAGGACACCTCCACCTTTGACCCCGTCACCGGACCATTCATTTCAACAGCAGTCCTATAAGATGATTTGGGCATTTGACACATTTCAGGCCTGTTATTTACCTGTAAAATCCTCTCTCGTGCTGACATCCAAAAGCCCCGAGAATGCTACTGGGAGCCGCCATCTTGGATGTGATGTCAGCAGCCTCAGTAACTTTATTGTATTCCCCTTCGCTCCTCCCCCACCTGCTACAGGGAGGGATGGAGAAGCTGGGCCAGCACAGACAGTACACTTTCAGAAGAGGAGAGGGCCATGGCATTCATGGAGGGAGGGGGCTGTGCTTGGGATGCGACTTTCTTCAAGTAGTTAAATATCTGTAACCTTCCGTCTCCGACTTCAGACAACAAATCAAAATCCATCTGCGACCTGCTAATGTTATACAGGAACCTCTCTATCTGTGCTGAAGGAAGAGAGACTTTCTGGTTACAGATTTATAAAACCAGATGCAGCCAAATTCACTACGGTTCTCCTGAGCCTTCAGGGTGGGGCAGCAGTCTCTTGTCACATGATTCAACTCCCTCTCTTGGAACTTCAGAGGATGCTGCTCTGAACCTGGAAATGCTCGGCTTGCATTTCAATAAATAAAACACCCACAATTGTGAGAATTCAGCAAGACAGATGGAAGAAGAGAGGGACAGAAGAGAGGGACAGAAGAGAGGGACAGAAGAGAGGGACAGAAGAGAGGGACAGAAGAGAGGGACAGAAGAGAGGGACAGAAGAGAGGGACAGAAGAGAGGGACAGAGCGGGAAGAAGGAGAGGGACAGAGAGGGAAGAAGAGAGGGACAGAGAGGGAAGAAGGAGAGGGACAGAGAGGGAAGAAGAGAGGGACAGAGAGGGAAGAAGGAGAGGGACAGAGAGGGAAGAAGAGAGGGACAGAGAGGGAAGAAGGAGAGGGACAGAGAGGGAAGAAGAGAGGGACAGAGAGGGAAGAAGGGAGGGACAGAGAGGGAAGAAGGAGAGGGACAGAGAGGGAAGAAGGAAGGGACAGAGAGGGAAGAAGAGAGGGAAGAAGAGAGGGAAGAAGAGAGGGAAGAAGAGAGGGAAGAAGAGAGGGAAGAAGAGAGGGAAGAAGAGAGGGAAGAAGAGAGGGAAGAAGAGAGGGAAGAAGAGAGGGAAGAAGAGAGGGAAGAAGAGAGGGAAGAAGAGAGGGAAGAAGAGAGGGAAGAAGAGAGGGAAGAAGAGAGGGAAGAAGAGAGGGAAGAAGAGAGGGAAGAAGAGAGGGAAGAAGAGAGGGAAGAAGAGAGGGAAGAAGAGAGGGAAGAAGAGAGGGAAGAAGAGAGGGACAGAGAGGGAAGGGCAGTACCCTGAGCCAATCAGGGCTCTACTGGTCACATGATGTGGTCAGCCTAAAACTGAACATAAGTAGAAGTTTTATTTTTTGGGGAGTGACAGGGTCAGGTTAGGTGCCTGGAGCAGGAACAGTTCTGGTCAGCCAAAGCAAACGATGAGATTCTGCCTTTCATCTTAAAGAGCATGTAAATGTTCAAAAAAAAAGACTTCAAACAACTCAAAATAGGCATTTACACACTTCATATTAACAAAGAAGAGGTGACTGGATCATTGTAGTAACTGGAATCGGATTTAGGTTTCAGCTCTTTTGTTTTCCGCTGGTAATCAGGCAAACAGCGCACTTCCTGTTTCTGGGTGTCTACGCTCACTCCTCCACTGTGGAAGTGACAGGACATTGCATTTCTGGCAGGATCAACAGGCCTTTCTGGTACCCGCAGAAAAAGTTCTTAGCCTGAAAAAAGAAAACTAATGCAGCCACCACACCTAACCTAAGAACTGGTGAGCTGCAGAATAATAGATTTTAGTTTGTTGGGTTTTCGATACACATGAAGACACTGGATCAGCGTAACAGCCAGCGGTCTCCGAGGGAAGTGAGTAATGGAAGACGGATTTTTTTTCCCCGTGATAGGTTTCCTTTAAGGAAAAAGACGCACGCAGAGTGATGCGTCCACCTCGGGGCAGTGCTGGGAAATGTTTACATACGGGTTCTGTAATGGAAGATGTTCTGGGATAGTTGAAATACTCCAACAGCACGGCAGAATAAAAAGGTGAATCAGGTTTGCAGCCAACAAGAAGAGTTCGCGCACATTGGGCCCGATGAACTAGCGGCGGCGCGAGAGACCGCAACTGGAAACCGATGTGCAATGTTTTGCTTCAACTTATCTATTATGTGGCAGTGACCCCACTTTAGAGTCCTGTGCGCCATCTGAGCACCCAAACTGTATGTTGTACAAATTGTGTCATTGACGCCGAATGTCACAAAGAGGGATTTTCCTATTTCTGACGCGCGTCGCATTCCACAGGAACGCGCAATGCGAGTCATTGTTTATTTGGCGCACTGGTATAAATGATCCAATCCGTGCTGTGCAGCGCCGCCGATAGTTTATCAGGCCCGGTGTGTTTGATGGAAACATAGGTGAAGGTTGAGATTGTACATGATACAGGCTGTGTGCCACCGTCCTCTTATGTGATGAGAGAGTGTTCTCAGCGATTACCATCTGCCTGCCTGTTATCACATCAGAGGGAGGTGCCACAAACCTGCTGCGGGGGCCGCCACTGACCCCGCGATCCTCGGGTGTAGTCCAGCAGTATAGACACTTGCAGGCCTTCCGGCTCTGTATTGTACAGCGCGTCTTCTATGCAGTCCACCTGGCAAGAGAAAAAGGTTGGAGGACAAAGATTTCCGAGTGCCAACTAACGTCAAAATTCAATATCTGAAATTTAGCTTTAATAAAAGGTGACGTTAAACCAAAAACGCGTTCATTCATTTCCATAGAATAGAAAAGGTTTGCCAGGTTTTTATTACCATGTTATTTATAGGGAGAGTTTTCCCATGGGAACCAGACCATTGAATACAATGGGATTTTCATGTTTGAGCGTTTGTCGAGCGTAGAACGCGCTACAAAACGTTCAGGTGTGAACGAGGGCTAAAGGAGAGCTCTGAGGCGAGTGATTTACACTCATGCTCATAGTTCGGGGCGACGTGCGACACTGAAAATGACACAGGTCGGCTCTATTGATCGGGAAGTGAGCGAACGCATACCGCCGCTCGCTCACTTCCTGATCATTTACCTGCTAGATAGGCAGAGCCCGCTGTCAATCAGCCAGTATTGTCTGGATCTGTCCCGGCTGCAGCGCTCTCAGTATATAGTGAGCAATAGCCCTCTATATACTGAGCTTTGGGTCACGGGAGGAGGTTGGTATATGTCCTCCTGTGACCCTAAGGCCTTGTTCACACCCAGCGCAGAGCTGCTGCAGACCGGAGCAAAACTGCGTCCAATGTATTCCAATGGTATTTTTTGCTCCAGTTCACATCACAGCGTGCAGTTCCAGAGCAGGTGAAAAAACTGCAGCAGGCCCTATTTTACCTGCTCTGGATCTGCAAACGCATCAAAAACGCATGCAAATGCCTGGAACGCACTGAAAGCCTATTTTAAAAACTTTTTTTTAAAAAGGCAAGAACGCATCAAAAACTTGTCGAAAACATATCTAAAAGACTAGCGTGCGTGTGCAGAAACCTCACCGGATCTGCTCTGCATTTGGTGTGAACAAGGCCTCGAGAGAACTATGGCATAAAAAGGTTACCTCCATAGTTCTCTTTCAACCACTTGAGGATATTCATTGTTAAAAGATGCATCCCTAAAAAATCTTCAACAAAGTATTTCGGACGCATCTTTTACACCCAGCCACTACCTACCTGCAGCCGCTCTGCCGCTATTACTGGCAATATCCGGCTGCCAAAATGACAGCCGCTGATTGCTTTGTGTTGCGTCAAAAAATGTAAAATGACACTGGGAGATAGTCTGCAAGTAAATACAATGAATCCTTCTATTGTTTCATTGTGTTTACTATTCCATCCATACTTAGACCAAAGGTGTGGCCCTTCATCTGTATATGACATCACATAACAAAAGCTTACCACTTTGTTTGTTTAAATAAAATGTATTCCTCTTATTAACCCCTCACTAACTCCTAGTTACTCTAATCGCTCCTAATTATTTCCTTCTTCCATCGTTTTAGTCTCACTTTGGACAGGACAAATGATACAATACAATTTATACTGTACACATTTTATAATTGCCCGTGTCCCAATTCTGGACATTTCCCATTTCTAGCGGCACCAGAATTGGAATCTTCCGAGTGCGGCAGAGATTTACAGCGGTTCCAATCCTCCACATCATATAAAATAAATACATAAAATCGAGTTTTGGTAAAATTCAGACGTCCGTGTCATAAAATAAGATTAAACACTTGAATGGCGTCCATTGCTAAATGTAAAATGACTGCGTGTAAAGCCTTTCTATATCCCTCAGATGTTTCAAATTGCTGCTCACCAGCTCTTGCTCCAGCGGGCCGGTCCCGAGGTACAGCGACGCCATAGTTATCCGCTTCTTAGCAGCCTTCACCTGGGACTGAGAGGGAATAAAGTAGAGTTTATGCCGCACTGGTTATCAGGAGAGAAGTAGTACATGGTTAATATAATAGTGGGAGCATTCAGAGGTCCGATGGTCTTACTGGAAGGATGTTTATATCTATAAGCAAGCTCTATGTCATACCAGGCAGAGCTTTGATTGCGCTAGTGTCCAGTCACATGACCCGTGCTTAGCCACTAGTGGGTCTCCGATGAAGCATCTTTGGGACAGATGTTCCATTAGTTTCTGCCAGTAGATGTCTCGTGCTCAAAAGTCTCCGGACATTGGATCCTCCGCAGTGCTGAGGTCAGGATGCCTGGGCATGCATCTGTGCGTGATGGAGGGAGACATATTCCAGTGTAACATTAAAGGAGAACTATGAGGTCAGGGCTTTTCCCCCATAGTTCTCCTTAGGGTAACGGGAGGACACAAACTAGCGTCCTCCCATCACCCTAAGCTCAGTATATAGGGAGCTACAGCTCGCGGTATACTGAGACGCCGCACCTGGAGCGGATCCCGACTTAGATGACAGGATCCGCCCAGCTGCGTGAGTGACAGCTGGCTCTGCCTACCTAGAGGCAAAGCCAGCTGTACCCGCCCCCTCCCCCGTCCGTTCCGCCAGTCAGCGCTGGCAGATCGGAGCGGGGAGAGGGGAATCCAGCCCCTCCCCCTGTCATGGCAGAGAGCCGTGACAGGATCGAGAGGTGAGTGAACGCCGGTATGTTTTCCCTCACCTCCCGATCTACTGAGCCGACCTGTGACAGTCTCATTGTCTCATTGTCACAGGTCGGCTTAGAACTATGAGGTGAGTGGAAATCACTCATGTCATAGTTCTCCTTTAACAATGGTCGTCACTGGAACCTGTATCGTCACCCTCCATGGAAATTCACTCAACCCCCCTAAGCACCACATACTGCCCTTTCCTTGGCTACCAGCTACTCATAGGAAGTGGGCAGAACTGTCGCAGTACCGTAGGAGAGCAGACCGAATCTGAAGCAGTTGCCCGTGGCAACCAATCAGCTTCTCTCTTCAGTTTGCTCAGTTACACTTTACAAATGAAAGAGAGAAGCTGATTGGTCGCCATGGGCAACTGCTCCAGTTTTGACAAATTCCCCCCCCCTCAAAGGAGGTTCCCCATCCTTTCCCCGGTCTAGTGTAGTGAGGAGGATGGAGGATGTTTAACCATCTCTGTTAGTGCTGCCGGCCCTAAGGCTGGGTTCACACCTAGGCGTATTGAATATGCGCGTTTATACCGCGATTCGCGGTTAATAAAAAGCGCGACAAACGCCCGTTTCCGAGGGCTACTTGGCTGTATCCCAATGGAAACGCGAGACCAAAACGCCCCAAAGAAGTACATGTACTTCTTTGGGCGTAGGCCGTTTTGTATCGCGTTCGGACGGGCGGAAATACGGCAAGGTGTGAACCAGACCCATTGAATACAATGGGATTTGAATGTTTGAGCGTTTTGTAGAGCGTTCGTCGAGCGTTGAACGCGCTACAAAACGTTCAGGTGTGAACCAGGCCTAATATCTGCCATTTTATTCATCGGTCTTCAGTTGTTTCAGTCATGGAGCCTCGGCATTAAAGCAATCTGCCTAGGACCACCCAATCCTCAACACTGACACCCACCCAACTAAGCATTTTAATATTTGCATAACTCCTCCCAAGAGCCAGCCCACTGCTTGCATCGGGGCTGAGGGCTCTCAAGAGGAGTACTGAGGCAGGGTGCTGCAATGTTTTCAGGAAGCGATGTACTGCACCCAGCCCGTGCTTGCACTGTACAGAGACGCACAGAGATAGATGACATCACTAGATCTGAAATAAGATATGTAATGAAAACATCTGACTAGTATGTTGATGAGGGGAGGAGGGAGGAAACAGGGACTGCATAATATAAGCAGTTTAAAGTTCATTTGTAGCATAAAGGGATCGGTGAGTTCTTATCTTTTTTATTGGTTGTTTTCAGTGGTTGTAAAGCTGTTCAGGAGCTGCTGGGAGATCAGCAGGATTTGTGCGTGCCATACGCAGTGGCGTAGCGGTTAGTGCTTCTGCCTTGCAGCACTGGGGGGTCCCCGGTTTAAATTCTAGTCAGAACACTATCTGCATGGAGTTTGCATGTTCTACCTGTGCTTCTGTGGGTTTCCTCCGGGTACTCTGGTTTCCTCCCCACACTCCAAAGGCATGCTGGGAGGTTAATTGGCTGCTGTCTAAATTTGCCCTTGTATATATGTACAGTGGGGCAAAAAAGTATTTAGTCGGCCACCAATTGTGCAAGTTCACATTTGTTCAAAATCCGCCGATTATGTGATTTTGTTTTCTCATTTTGTCTCTCATAGTTGAGGTCTCCCTATGATGCCAATTACAGGCCCAACTCATCTCATCAAGTGGTAGAACTTGCACAATTGGTGGCTGACTAAATACTTTTTTGCCCCACGGTATTTATATGTGTGATAGGGACCTTCGATTGTAAGCTCCTTGAGGGCAAGGACTGATCTGAATGTGCAACTATGTAAATTGTCAGCACTATATACCGTATTTTTCGCTGCATAAGGCGCACCTAGGGAGGGTTCTGTGTAGTTCCTGACAGCTGAGACAGGTGGCAACGCTGCGATTACAACGCCACGGTGTCCGTGATCACACAGAGCAGGCGAAGAACGGACATTCTTCGTCTGCTCTACGGGCTCTATAATAATGAGACACTAAGAGCGCAAATCCGGAATTGTAAATGGTGTGATTTTGGATATATGTAAAAAATGTTTTTTTTTTAAAATGAGGAACTTACTTGTGGTATCACAATAAATTGGCACTGTGCCCGGATCGGGCACAGTGGTGATTCTGGCGCTGCAAGGAGTGTTGGATAAAATTTGTTCAATTTCCAGTGGTCTCCAAGTGGCAGAGTAGGGCTGAAATAGGACTTTCTTTAGGGGTTGTTCATGGCGGCTGGGAATGGACATCTGTGCCGAAGGGCTGATGTGGAAGCTGCCTCTGGTCTTCGTTTGGTATATGTTCTAGATGTGGTGGAGTGGAAGTGACGGTCGGTTAGGAAGGGGAGTGCACGGGGCCGTGTACAGTGAGCAACGCGTTTCGAGGAGATCCTCTTTTTCAAGCTCGGAGATAGAAGGTGGTGGTGCTCCTCTGCCATGGTCACGGGTCCCCGAAAACCACGGCGGGGGAGGGGATTGGGGGGCCGGACAGGATCGCCGCTGCTCTTTTCATGCAAGTGATCTAATCACATCACTTGTATGAAAACAAATGCCGGCTCCACACTATACATTTAGCTCTGCTTTTCCGGAGCAGGGTTAAATGTACAAAAAAACTACTCGCCCGGCGCCCGAAACTGCATGTCCCGGGCGTCGGGCGATAGGAACTCCACACCCTGGGTACACTGTCAGCCCCGCCGCCTCAGCTCTCTCACATTTGCTCCATAAGACGCACGGACATTTTTGCCCGCCTTTTGGGGGGGGAGTGCGTTTTATAGAGCGAAAAAAACGGCAAATACCTGAAATAAATGAATACTTGAACTATCTTTATGGGCATTATGGATTATATAGCACAGAGCTCATTGAGGTTTATTGTTGATCAAAGTTACTGAGAGATCCTCGTTGTTATCTCTGGTCAAACCTCAGACTGATACATCACCCAGGAGGATTCCGGACTACTAGTCACCCTCAGAATATACGCAGGAAGATTTTTCATGAATGAATCACATATTCAGGCTTCCTAAACTGTGTCATTCTCCCCAGCGCATGCAGATATTAAGCAGGGGCGACTCTCCTCATTCCATCACCTCCGAGGGAATACTCACTTTCATGACCTGGTAGAACTCTGTTGGAGTGGAAAGTATCTTCACACTTGAGCTGGAGATGCCGAATTCCGGTACCAGGCTCCCGACCCATTGGAACCTGTGTGCGCTACGAGGGCAGACGCAGCCGACATTAGGAGGGCGCTGGGTGGCGGCTGGGGGAACCACAGGAGCCACAAGCGGAGCCAGAAGAAACAAGGGATTCCTAGAAAACACCAACATTTCATATTATCAATACATTGTAATTCATATCAATTGGCAATAAATATACAAACAGCTACAATCCGAACACCCCAAATATGTAACATATCCGAACACCCCAAATATGTAACATATCCGAACACCCCAAATATGTAACATATCCGAACACCCCAAATATGTAACATATCTGAACACCCCCAAAAAAGAACATAAACCAAAACATAATGGCAGTTTTTCCCCCCATTTAAACCCTTTCCTTGTCCATGCAATTCTCCGGCATGTTTAGTTATGGGGGAACATGTTACTCATTGCCCTTTTCCCATCTGTCAGAGCCGATGCCTCACAGTTGCCCCAGCAACGTCACATGGGAGCGGGAAAGATGCCCAGAAGGGGTTATTTTCCCCCCTGGCATCAGCGACCGTATAAAGCGGCGCAGGAGTGAGGAAAGAGAAGTATATACTGAAGTCGGAGTTAACGTGTATGGAAATGCTCGCTGTTCTCCTTGCTGGAGGGGAAGCTGCGCCGGAGGACCTGCAGTGCAAGGATCTCCCTGCTTCTCCTTCATCCATTCCGTGGATCTTTCTCCAACTCTCTGGCTGCTGTGTGATTATTCCTCCACCAGTCATCTGATCATCGGCACGATCAAGCAAAGTTCTCCTCCACCTAGATAGTCACCTCCACATAGAGACACCGTGCACAACAAGCCATGAAAGTCAGAAATAGGGAAATTAGCAGCTGCAGGGGGGGCCATAGACTGCATCAATATGCTCCCACTAGGAGATTCATATAGATAGAGCTAGGACCGCACTATGCAGAGGTGCCGTGACGGTGCGGCTTCTACATATTTTTGGCCAAAGGTTTGTGCAACTAAAACCTCTGCTTTTAACGTATACTGTTAGACAGGACTACAGAACACCTCCCTCTCCTCTCCATAACATGAGGGGGGGGGGGGGTGAGAGATGGGAGCAAGGTAAGTGATAACAGTGCAGGACAGGCAAAGAGCGCAGGAAGTCATCAGCTCACAAGATTTCTGACAGGATCAACAAGTGTAGAACAGATACAAACTCTTCCTAAGTTATATATTTAACAGACAAAAAGTGAGCAAATACGAGACGTTTATTGCCGGTTTACACGCTTTGAAGTAGGGCTGCGGAAATTAACGATTAATTACCCGATTAATCGAATTAAAATTCGATTAATCGAACACGAAAATTGTAATCATTAAAAGGAGAACTATGAGGGGGGAGCTTTTCACTCACCTCATAGTTCTAGCCGACCTGTGACAATGAGACTGTCACAGGTCGGCTCAGTAGATCGGGAAGTGAGAGAACACATACCGGCGTTCGCTCACCTCTCGATCCTGTCACGGCTCTCTGTCGTGACAGGGGGAGGGGCTGGATTCCCCCCTCCCCGCTCCGATCCTCCAGCGCTGACTGGCGGAACGGACGGGGGAGGGTACAGCTGGCTCTGCCTCTAGATAGGCGGAGCCAGCAGTCACTCAGGCAGCTGGGCGGATCCCGGCATAATCGTCGGGATCCGCTTCGGCTGCGGCGTCTCAGTATACTGCGAGCTGTAGCTCCCTATATACTGAGCTCTGGGTGACGGGAGGACGCTAGTTTGTGTCCTCCCGTTACCCTAAGGAGAACTATGGGGGAAAGCCCTGACCCCGTAGTTCTCCTTTAATCGAACACGAAAATTGTAATCATTAACAGCCCTACTTTGAGGACATCAGCTCCAATTATATTGCCGTCTTCATGGAGTCGGAGCCAAGAAACCGCTGAGAAAGTGGAGCCAATGTCCTTGTCCTACATCTGCGTGTTGTTCACGGATGAAGCGGGAAACCCGATTGGCTGCCAGTTCCATTTTTGATTCCACTTATCAGAAGCCGGCACTATTGTACATTTCCAGACAAAAGGGAAATATTCAGTTTCATCTTTTCGGGATCTTCTGCTTTCAGATTTCTAAAATGTCTCCCTTTATAAAGAAATGCCGGAGGTTCCCGGTAAGGTTCTCGGGGTGTGGGGGTTGGAAACGTATCAGATATTTGGGAAGTCCCGTAGTTTCTTCTATTAGTCGCATTACCAGCTGCTGAGAAACATAAGTGAAAGGAGGAACCTGCGACGCAGACGGAGGAGGAAGAGAAGGTCGGCTATTCCCCGTAACTGGCCAGAATGATGAAATCATCACACAGATAACGCTTGGAGTGTCCCCGGCAGGGAAATGCTGGACACAGGAAGTCCACTGAAACCTGCCCCATACACACTGGTTACAGCATCAGCAACGAGGGTTCCGTGAGCACATCAGCCGAATGTTAATGGCCTTGTTCACACCAAATGCAGAGCAGATCCGCTCAGGTTTCTGCACACGCAGTGCACTGGGTTATGCCGCGTTTTTGATGCGTTCCGGGCTGTTTTAGTTTAACATGGGCTTTCAGTGCATTCCAGGCAGTTGCATGCGTTTTGATACGTTTGCATGCGTTCCAGAGCAGGTAAAATAGGGCTTGCAGCTTTTTCACCCTCTCTGGCACTGCACGCTGCGATGTGAACTGGAGCAAAAAATACCATAGGAATACATTGGACGCAGTTTTGATCCGGTCTGCACCTGCTCTGGTCTGGATCTGCTCCATGCTTGGTGTCCTAGATAAGATTCCGACCCAGGACCCAGAGCTGCAAGGCTCGGTGCTGAGCTGGGTCACATGAAGCGCTGGGTCAATGTAATGACGTGACATCGTTCTCCTGTGAGACAAGGATGGCTTGATGATGTACTTCCGGGGGCGTGTCCTTGACACCCAGGGCCTCACAGGAAGTGGGTTGAATGGCACTGGCCATTATTCAACCCTGAAGATGACTAGTGATAGGCTCGGGCGTGTTTCGCAGCTCCACGTGCCGAGCCCGCCAGGAAGCTGACAGCGCCAATCACAGGCACTGAGACATTTCCCGATATCTGCAGCTGCGGACCGGGAAAATGTCTCAGTACCGGGGATTGGCGCTGCGGCGCTGTCAGCTTCCTGGCGGGCTCGGCACGTGGAGCTGCTAACACGCCCGAGCCCATCCTTACTGTTTACACACACCGCAGGGCAACGTGCTGCTGCGCGGGAACCTGGATGGAGCGCCCACATTGATCACTCCCAGGACTGCGGCTAACGATTATTTTCATATCGATTAGTCAGCCGATTATTAACTTCGATGAATCGGATAAAATTTGTACAAATGAATACCGTCGTTTATGTAATGGCGCAAGGGAGGCGTGGCCGAGGCCGAAGGGGGGCCGGGCAAGAGAAGGCTCGAGGCGGCAGCTGAGGAATGGGCCGGGCAAGAGGCGACGGGAGCGGAGGAGCGGAAGCACAGATGGAACCTGGCAGCAGCGGAGGTAAGAGGAAGGGCAGCGGGGGAAAAGTCAGCAGTCTCTACTCCCCGCTGGTGCCGGCTTCAGTGGTCCGTGTCCCCGCTGCCTCTGCCGGTGCAGGCGGGGATTGAAAGGGACACAGTCCGCTGCAGCCAGCACCAGCGCAGAGGAGGAGCGGAGGTAACTAATCGGAAATCAACTAATCGATGATGAGCATAGTTGCCAACGATTCTCATTATCGATTTAATCGATTGGTTGTTGCAGCCCTGTTCACTACCAAAAAAATGAAAACAGTGACAGCTCCGGGTCACAATGCACTATGGGCCCTAAAGGATCCCAAAAGAAACTCTGTTTTTGCCTCTTAAAACATTTGGGCTCTGAACTGTGTTTCACCAAATACTGTCACCCAGTGCATGAAATATGACACTATCAAAGTTATAGGCCATCTCAGGGCAACGGTCTCCCATCTCAGGGCAACGGTCTCCCATCTCAGGGCAACCCTCTTCTATCTCCAGGTAAACTTCTCCCCTTTCCACCCATTACCGTTTGGAAATTCAGATAGCAGTGGGCTGCGGCTATCAGAATACAATAGCCGGCAAGGAAAATTCCTCCATCTTTAGCGCGAATGGGGGAACGGCCTATTTCTAAGCCTCCACTGCAAGCATTAGACATTAAATGTAACCAGTTTTATCCCTGAAGCCGTTTGGCCGCATTTTCCTGCCGAACAGAAAACAACACTGTAACAAAATGAAGGTTTTATAAGAAATTCCAATGACAATAATAGCGCAAATTGAATCCCCCGCTGCCCGCAACCCTCTAATGGGCCTTTAATGAAACACTATAATGACAA